AAAAAAAAAATACCTACTGAGGCTGCTTATGTACAACCAAACATCTCATGAAATTTGGTTCCTTGGTTTGGAGGTTTAGGGACATAGTTTCAAGGGACATCCCAGTTAATTGGCCTAATAATGTGTTTACTGCTTCTGTTCTATCTCCCAGTTCACTACATAGTTCCTGGGATCTTAAAAGCTTGCAAGCAGCCATCCAAGGCACAACAATTGGTCTCTATTTACCTGAAGCAACAGAGGAAGAAGGAGCGTCAGGAAGAGGAGGAGCATATGCAATGTGTAGCTAAATGCTGCCATGAACAACTGCTTTGCTTGCCCATGAGACCAGAAGGACGTGTCCAGCTACCATTCCTGAACATTTTGATCAAAGAGTCTATAGAAGAATCCTGATCAAAAGAGGGTAAATGCAGTACAAATTTTCAAATTCTCATGGACTCCAGACTTTCTGGAGCCATGGAGCATGGATAACCCCCTGAAACTATTGCTCTCAGATAATCTTTAAACTTTAAACCAAAAATATCCCCTGAAGTCATCTTAAAACTGAAGAACAGTTCAGCTTAACTAGTAAAAAAGGTCTGCCTTAAGCATTATGCATACCGGATTATTTATATGGGATCAAACTGACGACAGCAGATCGAAACATTAGATAGGAACCATAGGGGCAGTGAGTTAATGTTAATGAGGGAGGAACTACTCAGAAAAGGAGAGTAAGAATGGTTGCACAACTTGAAGAATGTAACCAGTGTCACTAAATTTTACATGTATAAACTGTTGAACTGGTCTATGTTTTGCTGTGTACATTCTCAACAATAACAAAATAAATAAAATTTAGGAAAAATTTTTAAGTTTTACATGACAGAATGACACAATATAGGCATCTCTATTTTAAAAAAGTTTAAACTTACAAGTGATTTTCAACCCTACCTCAACACGCTGCTGGATGCTCCACTGACATAGAAATATTTCATTTTACTAAAATAATCTAAGAATTAACTTCTTTTTTAAGGAGGGGGAAAAGAAAAGAGACCTATCTCATAGTTGCTAGGAACATAGCAAAGCACTCCTGTTTTGTTTGGTAGGTTTCACACCCTGTATTGCTTAATTTTTTTCACTTCTTTTGAAACTTAATACCTACAACTGAAATTCCAACAATTACAGATTCACTGAGTTAACAGTAAGGAAAAACTTCTAGGCAGAAATAAGTTTGTCTGATTTAGATCTACCAGTGCTGGCCCTTCTGATTCTCAGAAACACTCAGTTCTTCTTCTGCACTCTTTCTCTAATCAGGCATCTCCCCTTTCTGACTCACTCACTGGGTTGAGTTAGGAACCAAATGTTATATTTTGTATATTCCTACAGTCTACACCAGCACTTTTCAATAGAATTTGCTGAGATGATGGAAATGTTCTATAGCTGCACCATTCAAAATGGTAGCCACTAGCCACGTGTAGCTACCAAACCCACTGCCGTCGAGTCGACTTCAACTCAAGCAACCCTACAGACAGGGTTGAACTGCCCCACAGGGTTTCCAACGAGCAGCTGGTGGATTCAAACTGCCCATCTTTTGGTTAGCAGCTGAGCTCTTAACCACTGCACCACCAGGGCTCTGCATGGCTAATGCAACTTAGAAATTGCATTTTTAATTTTAATTAAATTAAATGTAAATAGTCACAGGTGGCTAATGTCTTCTGTATTGATCAGCCTAGGTCTACAACCTGGCACAACAAACCCAAACCCACTGCCGTCGAGTCGATTTTGACTCACAGCAACCCCAAAGAGTTTCCAAGGCTGTAAATCTCTATGGAAGCAGACTACCACATCTTTCTCCCGCGAAGGCACTAGGGCTGGCACAACAAACATTTGTGGAATTAAAAAAATGTACAAATTCAACCAATGTTGCTCTCTTCCCAAACCTTAGGAAGTATCAACAGTTTTATATTGTGAGATTCAGGGTTTAGATTTTTAAAAATATGAGCAGGGCAGCTAATTCTTGGGGCTATGCCAATCTCTCATTTCCTTTCACTGCCTCCTAAAACAAGTTATGATACAGTTATGAGTTAAAATGCCCTCTTCCCACCTCTGCGTTGTATTTGTTCATTTAGTGTATTTAATGATAATCTACTGTGCGCTGCACATTTTGAATAAGAAGTAGAATAAAACTCAGTCCTTGCCCTCAGGAACTTCTGTATGAATAGGGCAAGAAAGCATAATGGCAACCTAAAATACAGGATACTATTATAGAACTATATATAGCATGCAATGCAAGTACAGGGGAGCACCTAATATTCCACGTGGGAGTCAGAGACTATAGAGGAAGTGGCATTTGAGGACTTCTTTCCTATACCAAAGAATGACACTTTTTTAGAAGCATTTGCTACAAAATATTGTTGTCTTGATTTTTATGGAAATTCTCAATTAAAAGACTGCTGAAGTTCCCTCATTATACAAACACTAACATTGAAAGCATTATAGCTAACTTAATTTGTAAAGTTATTATAATACTGGCTTTTAGTTGGCCAGGATACCCTGCTAATTTTAAGTACCAAAATATTACTTTACTTTAGTGGAGTGATACCCTTGTTTCAATGGGTGTTTTTTAATCAGACACTGAAATACTTACATCTTGAGATTGAAATCACTGACTGAAGTTTTTATTATATACTACGTATGACTGCAAAATAAAAATCTTCTCTACCCAGAGAACTATAAGCTGCACTAAAAATTTTAATTGAATATCACTGCATTTATTCAGAAAGCATTTTTCTTTCTGTAAGTTCATAATCCTTAGTGGGAGGAAGAAAATAAAGCAAGTTCTGTTGCAAAGTAATTTCATACTCCAATTTTTTTGAACAATAAAATATGAACACGAGCATACCTAAGTTAACACAAGTAACTGTATTCCACTCTCCTTTCATACATGAAGAACTAAAGACAGAAACAGAAAACGCTTTCTTTGAAACAAAAATTCAAACTTGCCATCAATAAAAAGATTGGAAAAAACAAAAACGTTCCAAGATTCCCTCAAAATTATTAAAAGGAGATGGGACTGCCTGAAGATGCAGGAGACTCAGAAGAAATATTTAGAATTAGCTTATCTCTGTAACATTCCCTTGATTAGTTCAGAAAAAGCTTCTTCAGCATCTGTGAATTTCTGCACAAAAATACACCCATGACTTGGTGATACCACTTAAGTCTCTGTTTAAAACAACAATTTTTTAAAGATTTTTAAAAGACTTTTTCAGTTTCTCATGATTATTTTTTCTTCATTATTAAGTAGGAATAACTTTTTAAAATTACTTTTACGATATTTATCTTATATAGCCAATGGCTTGAGTCATAATGCTGAAGATGTTTTTATAAGTTCATATTTTTACTTGGTTTACTATTATTTATAATTTCATATTTAAATTGTTTTAAGTACTTAGCTTTACTTTTTTTTACATTTATGCATTCTAATACACTTGTAATAGACTAATCCACAACACTAAGTCAAAGCACCAGTAATGTCTCTCTGCTCCAGTATGGCAATAACTACATACTTAATATAATATCATACAACTAGTGTGGTCAGGATCAGGACCCAGGACTCCCAATCTAGCTCCTTTTTCATCAAATCATGCTGCCTCAGTATAGTTCCCATCAATATCGTAAGATTCATAAAAAAGGATTATGCTTTAATTTTATACCCCCTCTCATTCCCTAATACATTTAACTAATACTTGGTACATAAATATAACTTCTAACATAGTAAAACATTTCCTTATTGACCATGACTCATACAATTACAAACAGGACTATGGTGGGGAGAAGAAAGATGAAGGTGCAAATATATGAAAATCTATTATTTGTAAAATACAGTACTAGGCACTGTGGAGGAATCAAAACAAAAAAACAAGAGCTTTAGAGAATGTATAATCTGATAAGGAAAATAAATTACAAGCATAAGCATAAAATAATACAGGAAAAATTATGCATACTATATATACTTTCAGAGGTGGCAGTCTTTGTAACAAAAGTGTTAAAGTAGAAACAATTATAATAACTGGAGCTCATTTTTTCATTCAGCAACTATTCACTCAGCATCTTCTATGATCCAGCCACTGAGCTAGATATGGAGGTTGTAACAATGAATAAAACAGGTTTGGTTCCCATCCTCATGTGGAGAAACAAATAAGAAAACAAGCCAATGAAATTATCCTTACTTACTGGGAAAGGTTATAAAGAAAGAAAAAGACTAGGGTTTTAAAACTGTGCATCTATTAAAATGCAGTAAAATGTGGAATGATGGGTCAGTGAAAGTCTCACTAATGAATGGAAGCAACATCAGGCTGAGACCCAGAAGATGAAACGCCAGTCTTCCAATCATAAAACAGGACAGCGTGCAGGTGCCTTTGTGAGTGCATGTTAGGCGGATGAAGAGGTTTAAGCTCAGGGAAGTAGCATGTATAAAGACTTTAACGCAGAAGGAGGTCTTTGGCATATCTGAGGACCCAAAAAGCAAATGTGACTGAAGCCTGCCAACAAGCAGAAAAATGGCATATATGGGGTTAAAAAGTAGGCAGGGAGCAGCTTACAGGGTTCAAAGAGGCGGGAGGTCCAGGGTATGGCTAAGGAAAAGCAAATATGCTAGTGTGGCTGGAGTACTAGGTTAATGCAAAACAAAAATTTCCTTGTACATTAATGCATTATAATATAAAAATACTATCAACTGTTTTTCAATCACTAAAAAATGAAGAGTAAAATTATACACTGATGCTCAAAAGAACAAATAGTACTAAGTGAATACTTTATGCATAACAATGTTAAATATGCTGAGCTGACTCAAAAAGCACTACTAAATAAAATGATTCAACTGTATTAAATTTGAAAATGGAGACTAACATTAGGACAACAGTTTTATGTAACTGATAATTACTCACACGGTCAATACTTACAGCAAAATCTACAGGTTAGCAACATCATTAATACAGAGAATTGGTTATTTCAATATGTTAACATACCTTTGTCCTTCTTAAAATCCAAAGCATCTTCTTTATCTGTCACTATTTCCTTCATATTGATAATACTCTGGTGGGTAAGCTGCCGAAGAATTTTAATTTCTCGAATTGCTGTAATCGGAAAGCCTTCCTTTTCATTATCTAGACGTACCTTTTTTAAGGCTACCATTTCTCCTATTAGAAAGTTAAATAAAACCAAGTTACCACCAAACTGAATGACTTTTCTTCTTAATTTAAATTTATTTTCATTTATAATTTATGTTCCTACCTTGTCATATTACAATCCACAAAATATATTTTAGTTTCCAACATACCAAATGATGATATTTAAAGTTTAAGGAATTAAGTGTTTGGTTAAAGCATGAGGCATTAATACAAATCATGTAATACTATAAAAAAAACCTGTACTCGCTGCCATCGAGTCAATTCCGACTTATAGTGACCCAATAGTGCAGAGTACAACTGCCCCATAGTGTTTCCAAGGAGCGGCTGGTGGATTCAAACTGCTGACCTTTTGGTTTGCAGCTGTAGCTCTTAACCAATATTATGTAACTGTTAAAAAGAATAAGGTCGGTCATATGCTTTGTTATTTCATGCTCTCCAAGACAGATCAAGTGAAAAAAGATACTGAATAGTGACTATATTACATTGCCACTTACATTTTTTTTAAATGGAGGAGGGAAGTGTAAATATACTCATATGCATATACACGTATAAAATTTCTCTGAACAGATAAGATACTGTACATTGTGCAAATAAGAAAATAAGATCTGACATATTAACTCGCCCAAAGCTGCCCAGTTACCTAGTAGTCAAACTGGGATTCAAAACCTGGTTTAGCTGTCTCAAAAGAATGTGCTCTTCCCACTATGCTAAAACTGCCTCATAATTTAGCTAAGAGTGATAAACCACACACAAAAATAAAACTCTGTTATAAGAAAAAATTCACTTTAATAAAGGTTTGTTCATTCCACTTCTTTGGAGAAAAAAGGAATTCTGTACCCGCAAATTTTCCAAAAGATGGAAGTTTATCCTTTTAATCATCAAAATATATTTTACCCATTTTTATGGAAGTCTTTCTATAATATAGCAAGATTCCTTCTTTTATTAAAGTTTTAAAAGTTAAAATTTAATCTCTTTTTGATAATACAAAATCATCATTATAAGTATCAATGCTCTATGCTGTAATTTTCTTCAGGAGTTTCTAAACATAAGATCACTTTTCTCCTATATTAAGTGGCTTCAAATACCTGTGCTATTTTAATCTACTGGCTTATTTCAACAAGGAATTGTGAGTAAAGACTGGCTCTATGCAATATCTAGTAGAGTGCATAGCTTCTGCACATAGTCTAGGACCTAAGTTACTTTATCCTCTGATGCATGGCCTTTCACACTTTCTTTCAGGTTCTTGATTATGTTCTGAAAGACTAAGCTGCTAAACCTGGCCTCCAAGTAAAGAGTGATTTTTACAGAGAAAAAATTTTTTAGGCAAACTAAAAGTGTTATAGAAGTCTTTAAAAAAATTTACTACTAAGAGTAATTCATTCTGGTCAAGACACATTTTTTTCATGATAGCTAGCAAGGTAAGAATTATTCACAATAAAAGAAAAAAAAAATCTAAAACCTACCACACAGCACATCACAAATTCTAAAGGATCACTTTTAAATGCTTATGTATATACACCCACTTAAATGTACTCTTTACGTAAGTAGATATACAAAGAAAAATTTAAAAAACAAAAGCATGATAGAATTCTAATATAACTTTGGTTTTAATTCTTAAAGCTATACTTTAGAAGAAAAACACAAATTAAGTACATTCCAAAAGCCCAAAGATCGACAGTACTTGGCATTCTTACCAGTGTCTTTATCCCTGGCCTTGTAAACTTGTCCATAGGTACCTTCTCCAATAATTCCGATGATATCAAATTTATCCACGCAGCGTTTTCCCCAGTCAATGTCTTTTTCTTTGATTTCACCATAGCGAGGCCCACATATTCTATCAAATATAGTTCTGAAGTTTTTATATACAATCAAGCAAATTAAATAAACTATGTCATAACTCAATACCCAACCTCCTCCCAATCTTATATCCTTTATTTTTCCCCTCACCCTTGTGTATTCATGATCATCTATTCAAGACAAGTAACACTGTGATTTGGTATTATATCATGAAAGTCATGGTATCATTTCTCCAGGCTGACTCTCGTGTTCTGCAGACTAGAGCTTAAACTGGGAAAGAGAATTAGTAGAGCTTGTATGAACCAACACTAATAGAAAAAGTCAAAGTTCTCTAACCAACCTCCAGAAAGTTTTACTATTGATTCATTGACTATATCATGTATGTATGTAAGTATATCTATATGGATGTGAGTATGTATATACAGATATATATACATACTCACAGATATATGCTTGTAAAAAACAAAAGTTTGATAATGAACATTAAACAAAACATAACTATAAAACTTACTGGCAAATTTAGACTTATGGCTAGATGAAATAATTTTAAAAATGGGAACAACAGAAAGCAGATATGCAGCCTAAGAAAGCACAAAAGGTATTATTAGTATTATAATTTGCTCTTAAGAATCCACAGTTAAGCATATATATACATACATATATATGTGAATCTATAAATGTAAAGATATATAAATATGATTTTATATTCTTCAAAAAGATACAGTACTTTAATATTCTGATAGTTCATAACAATTCAAGAAAAAATAGAGAAAAATTACCCAAGGAGAGATTATTTTAAAAATTTTCTAGCTTTCTACTCTACACTAGAATATGATCTCATATTTACACTAGGCTCTACTTGAACAGCAATTCTAAAACCAGATTTAACTGAAAGTCTAACTCACACTTTCCCTTGGTTAAATAAAAGTAAAAGAAATCAACGCCCTCCCCTCCTTAACTGATGAACAGGTTTCAGAGAAAAGCGTTTATCTCTACTTACTTACTTGAGGCTAATTTAGGATATAGATTTCAAACCTTCTTCCAATCCACTTCTTGCAAAATGAAGAATGCATTGAATTATGAGGGAAAACAGAGCTAAAAGCAAAGGAAAACACAGCAGCTTGCCCATTATTAATTTTGTATGGGCTCACTGAAAACTGACTTCCACCTCATCTTTTATCAGTGTTTTCACGTTATTTAAATATCTTAATTATAGAAATTGTCTTTAACATATACAATACCCCAAGAAATTAACATTACAAACCGTGAGAGAAAGTTAAATTTGGTTTTTATTGAATATTGTGAATAGGTACGCAAGCAATTATGAAATATTTTTCAAAACACTAAAAGAATTTATTCATATATTTAATTAGAAAAAATAAATACACTTTATTATTTTAAATCTTAATTTGTGTTTTCTAATTTTATGATTACCCAGAATCATTTCTGGGAAATTTAAGAGCAGGTAGAAAGCAAGCACATACTTAGGCCTCCTTTTACTATGTGACTGTGTTGCTGCTTTCTTCTCCTCTGGACTCTTGGACAGATCCTCTCCTCCTGGTAGCTCAGGGGGCAGTGGTAAATCAGCAAGCAGACATCGTAGTTTCTTTTCTACCTCTTTTTTAACTGCTTTTACTGAAATATTTCCTCGTAGGCTAGAAAAGAAAGGAGTAAGACAAATAAAACAAAAATTTATGTGGTGGAGAAATACAAATGTGGCGTGTCTTACATTTTAATGGCATGTAATAGTGAATTTTCTGGAGTCTTTCACATTGCAAAACACTAAGTTTCTTTATATTCCAGCTGAAGCAATGCACTATAGTCTACTGCAAAAAACATACTTTGGGGGTAAAAATGATACAAAGTTATGTTAAAACTAAGAAAAATGTGAGCAAAGCATGGACCTTAACTAATAATAATGTATCAACATTGGTTCATTAACTGTAACAAATGCACCATACCAATGTAAAATGCTAATAATGGGGAAACTGGGTGCAGGGTATGTGGGGAAACTGAAGTATCTTGGTAATTTCTCTAGAAACCTAAAACTGCTCTAAAAAAACAGTTCACTTTTTAAAATGATACAGAATTACTACAAAACTGTAAATTAAAACTGGAAGGCAACTACTTATGCTTTGCAGGAAAATATGTTAGTTTTATAATAGCATTTGGTTTGATTCTGGTAGAGAGACAAAAGTTTTTTTGTTCTAACGAAGAAATAAAACCACAGGCTATTATTTATCTTGCCCATTTAAATAACCACAAATAAGAAGTAATTCACCCTTACCCCTTTCCAGGGTTAATTAAATTTTCTGAACTCGACAATGATTCTTTTAACATTTTTATAAGGCTCTAGGTTACTACAGAGAACCCTGGTGGCTCAGTGGTTAAACGCTTGGCTGCTAACCAAAAGGTCGGTGGTTCGAACCCACCAGCCGCTCTGTAAGAGAAAGATGTGGCGATATGCTTCTGTAAAGATTAAAACCTCACTGCCGTCCAGTCAAATTCCAACTCACAGCAATCCTATAGGACAGACCAGAACTGTCCCATAGGGTTTCCAAGAATGTAAATCTTCTATGGAAGTGGACTACCACATCTTTCTCCCATAGAGTGGCTGGTGGGTTCGAATCGCCAACCTTGTGATTAGCAGTAGAGGGCTTAACCACTGTGCCACCAGGGCTCCTTACTCAGCTTTAGAAGCCCTATGGGGAGGTTCTACCCTGCCCTACAGGGTCACTGTGAGTCAGAATTGACTCAATAGCAATGGCTTAGTTAGCTTACTATAATTACAGGTGAAAATATAAGCTCAGTTAGTTCTGTACATTTTATGAATCTGTATTCATAAAAAAGCTCTGATTTTAAAGTATATATTAACTTGGTAACTGATTATTTAAAACTGCCTAAATATTATAAAATCTGTTATCTAATATGAGACATTAAAAGAAAAAATTATGAGAATAAAATTTAGACTTCACATGCTTTCACAGTAGTTAAGACCCCATAAAGAAAAAATTTAGTGACACTATACTACCGGTACAAAATTTCCAAAGACGTTATCAGTGTAGATCATTTAATTATCACTTTTTCTACTCATGTAGAACTTTAGTATTATTGTAAAACAAATGGCTCCTTTAATACCAACTGATAAAAACTATCAATATTAATAAAATCTTGCCTTTTCTTCATAACTCCATGTTACTTACCAGAAGGTTCTTTAACAGGGAAAACATGCTCTAAAAGAAACTGGCTTGTGGTTTCAAAAAATATTCAGTGTGCCAGGTATTGTGTAAAGTACAAAAGATTTAACAACAACAACAACAAACACATTAAGACACATTTCCTGCCAGAAAGGAGCTTACAGTCTTTTGGAAGACACAAATAAGTAAACCAACCACTTGGTTCAAAGGGATAAAGTACTATAAAAATGGATTCCCAGAGTCATGTGAAAACGAAGCGTAAGCTACATCAGATGTGAAAGATAGTGAAGGTGTCTTTTTGGAAAAGGTAGCACCTGAATACTGTCTGAAAATAAGCCTATTTAAAATAATTTGTTTAGAAAACTGTAGTCTCTGTAATTAGGTTTTAGTCAAAAACTCATTTGTCCGAAGATTCAAATCAACATTTTGGGGAAAAAAGTTAAAAGTCTTAATTTTACTGGATGCTTCAATACTTTCAAAATAAAAAATACAGGAGGGAGATGGATACAACAACAACAAAAACAAAAAGGGTAAAAACTAGTGGAATACAAATTTGCAAAATCAAAAGGCCCCACAAAACACACATACTCTTTTGCTAATTTATTTGGGGATACAACAGTGAGAGTTCAGAACAATGCCAGGAATGGATAGAGATGTGCTTAAAGGAAGCAAAGATCAAAAGCTTTCCTCATACAACCTTAAAATATGCAGACCATTCATCTTCTTCAAAATGATTGTTAAATTTACAGTGAATAACAGGTAAATAAAACTACATTCTGTATTCAGGTTTCCTAAAGTATGTTACAGCAGAAAAGATTGTTTCTTTACACTGAGTGAAACAGTTTACAAGCCATTTTCAACCGACAGTTTTTAATACAAAATAAAACGTATGCAATAATTACTAAAAAGAGACTTCTAAACATGAAATTACTATGACCATTACGTACTGGTTCATAAAAAAGGGGGGGGGCGGGATGTGGAAGAGTTAGTGCCTGCGGTTATAGAACAGGAAAAAACCCACCAGCAGTTCCTCCTTTACAAAAACTAAGCCTTTTTAAACAAAGCACTATGGCTTTTACACAATGTTACACAATATAACAATGTAATTTTTCACTTTCTCTCTTTTGCTATCAATGAAAGCATTACTAACCGAAAGTACTTAATATTTTCCACTGTTAAGATTTATCACTAACAGTCACAAAATCTGAGATGTACAGCACTTTACAGTTAGTAAAATTCTGTCCATCATCTCATTTAATCCTCACAACTAATCTGTGAGGATAAATATGGTAGGTACTATCACCCTTGGACAGAACTAAACAGATCGAGTGTGGAGTAAAGGACCTAGTTTTACCCAAAGTAAGATAACTTTTGCCCTTGGTTCCTGCAAAATAACCCCTGGAATAATTGGGGGTGCCTTCGTCTGGGACTTCCAGGCCACACCTGAGGATTTGTGCAGGCGCATGAGGGCTGGCCAAACCAGAAAAGATTCACCTGGGAGGCCGCTATCAACTAGCCTCTGGAGGCAAGATTGAGCCTATCATTCAGGACTGGCCAATAAAAACCCGGAACACTAAGGCTCAGAAAGGTTCTTGGTTGGCGAAGGGAGGGTGACGTGCCCTCTCTGAAGCTCCGCATTGGGAGCCTTCCCAGACCTCACTTGTGCATCTCTTCCTTATGATAATCCTGATTCATATCCTTTTTCTATAATAAAACCGGTAGTTTTAAGTATAGCATCTTCCATGAGTTCTGTGAGTCATCCTAGCAAATTAACAAATCCAAGGACAATGCCCTCTTAACTTCTAAGGTCTGTCCCTAGCCCCAGGTGGCTAGGCAAAGAGAGAGGGAACCGTGAGGGCAGCTGGTGTCATAAATGATGGAGGAGTGGAAAAGGAAGGATGTGTTTGATCTCCCCCTTCTGGGAATTGGCTTTATGCTGATTTTCATCCATGAAGCTATCGTCATACCGAGGCATAAAAAGAGTAATTCATCAGACTAGTAAGAAGTACAACTGAGAATAAAACTCAACCTTCTACTATAGTCCACTGACAAGCTTTTCACTGAATTTCTCCTAACAGCACTAAAAACATTAAATACAAAATAAGTCTCCTGCCCTAACCAGATTCTTCAACTCCCAATCTATTTCCAAAAGTAACCACTTTTAACCATTTCTCCTTTACACAATACACTTTTAATCACTTAAATCTTTTTTAAAAAAATAAAAGGAAAGGTGATAAATGTTTCCTCTTCCTACATTTAAATTTGGTAGTTAAATTACAGCTATTGAAATGAACAAGTTCCACTGGTGTAGAATTTCTTTGGCTACACAGACATGTTAATCTCAGTACTCAGGAGTCTTAAGAAACTTCTATATCCTGGAAACATAAGTATACGCAAAGAAGACGGAGACACAACAAAGAGAAGGGCACAGAAAGACAAAGGTGGGTCAAAAAAAGCCTTTTAATGATCAAGAATGATACGTATACTACCACATTAAAAAGAGATGCATAAAAAATATCTCCCATAAGCATTCACACATGTATGCAATTCCTAGCAAAAATTTACCCCATAAAGCATATATAAAGAATAAAGTATAAGACAACAAGTTTCACTGAGACCTGGATGCTCAGCAGTTGGTTAAACTCTCTCACTAATGAAGTGACTCAAGCCTTTCTATGCTGGACAGCTAGTTCTAGGACTCATCAAAATTACAAATCACTACTGTCATGAGCCTTTGGTGTTCCTGGAGAACAGTTAAACCTGCAAATATCACAGTTAGAATCGTGTGACTGCGTAACACCTGATTAAACTTGTTGGAGGCCCCTGGCAACATTCTGATTGCAGAGAAAAGGCATCTTGGAGGGCATGAATCACAGGAATCGTGATTTAACTTTTGTTTGTTTTAAATTATAAGATTTTCATGAAAACTGAAAACTGGGCCAAACCGAGCACTTGAAAGGCCTGCCCACATGGTATTTTTGCACCTGCTTTCAAATCCTATAAAGAAGTCAGCAAGGAAAATTGCTCATACAGTTGCTTTTTAATAAAAAGTAGGGAAAAAATCAGCTCTGATTTCTTCATAAAAATAAAAATGAAATTCTGTTAAGTGGTTTAATAGGCAGATAAATCACGTAACAGCATAATGCTACTATACCAGGATACATACAAGACACATTCTTAGCTGCATTTACTTTACAGTCACTCACCCCTACTTTCATCCTTTTAAGAATAAAATGTTTCAGAATAAAAACCAAGCCATACCCACATATTCACAATTTTAAACATGTTAAAGGAAAGTGTAATATATAATGTGATAAATCCTTAGTTGCCAGACAAGATTAAAAGAACCTAAAGGGTCCAAGAAAAATGATAAATTCATAAGGCCACCAAGGAAACCTAGAAAAATAACTGAGACACATGCTTACAAGATTTAACCCATCCAGGGCAGACTCACATACAATGTCCTATGTCTAATATTACCATCAAGGAATATTAAGTGAAAGAGAATACTGGCATCTAACACCTGACCAAACTCATTCTGAAATATATATCTTTATCCCAAGGCAACTGGAAATTTTTTCTGGATTTCTTCGCGTAAACTATAATTCTCATCCTACGAGCAATGTGTTTCATTTTAAGATATATAAAATAATTAGTTCACTTTTTACTTAAGTTTGGGGACTTTTTTTGCGGGGGGGTCCAATAATGGTTCACTTCAACTTGAAAACTTGTAATTTTTTTTTTTAAATAATTACTGACAAAAATGTTTGCACTTACCTATCGGCATCTTTATCTTCAGGCAGCATGGGAGGCAAAGGTAATGGTGGTAATGTAGAGGTCACTATTGTCACATGCTGCTCCTTCTCCTTGCCTCCTACGCTTGGTGTAAGTGATCTGGTTTTCTCTTGGAGAGATACTGGTTCCTCCTTTGCAGCAGCAGGTTTACTCTCCTTCCCAGCTACAACCGCTTTCTTGGTAGCTTTATCTACGATCAAATTATTGTCCACCTTTGTTACCTGAAGAGGTGGCTTTGTTTTTGCCTTGTCGTTTTTTAAAGTTCCACCACTCGAGGGAGAAGGTGCATGCTCAGTTTTCAGTTTCTTCACGTCCTTCACATGGTTTGTCTGCGATGCACTGACACCAGTTTCTGTGTTCCCCTTGGTAGGTGTAGAAGTGTTTGAGGCTTTTGCAGCTTTAGCAGCAGCCTCAGCTGCCTTGGCTGCTTCTGCAGCTTTCGCTGCTTCTGCAGCTCTTGCAGCCTCTGCAGCTCGTGCTTTTTTATTCTTGTTCAATTCAGCTGCCAGGCTACTCTTCAGAGTTAGTGTACTAGGAGAAATGCTAGAATGACGACTTCTGGATCTAGACAGTCTGTGCCTGCTACGAGATCTTGAATGCCTAGAAGAATATGGACTTCTGCTTCGGGATTTGGCAGACCGTCTGGTGGAAGATAATTAAGATTTAGTCAGTAATTCAGAAAGATTGTTTGAAATTTACAAAGACAGTGCTAACCCTAGTATGTGAAATGAAATAGAATGTTACTTAACCATCTCAAAATCATAATATAGTTTTGTTTGGAAGACTTTAAAAAAAACAGAAAGTGCTTTAGAGTAGAATATTATCTGGTAGCTATAGTTTTCTCAAAAATAGATTGTCGTTATATACAAAGAACCACTACAATTTAACAACGAAAAGACAAAACAACCCAAGCAAAAAATGGGCAAAAGACTTGAATAAACATTTCACAAAAGAAGATATACAGATGGCCAACAAGCACATGAAAAGACGACCAACATCATTAGTCACCGGGGAAATGCAAATCAAAACCACAGACAGGTATCACTTCATGCCCACGAAGATGTCTATGATTTAAAACAAACAAACAAACAGGTGTTGGTGAGGATGTAGAGCAATTATAACCTTTATCTATTGCTGGTGGGATTACACAATGGTACAGCCACAGTGGAAAACAGTTTGGTGGTTCCTTGAAAAGTTAAACAGAACTACCATATGATCCAGCAATTCCACCACTAAATATACCCAAAAGCACTGAATGCAGGAACACAGATACATATACACCAATGTTCACTGCAGCACTATTCAAAAATAGCCAAAAGATGGAAACAACCTAAAAGTCCATCAACAGATGAGTGGATAAACAAAATGTGGCCTATCCATAAAATGGAATATTATTCAGGCATAATGAGAAATGAAAGTCTGATACAAGCTATGACAGATGAACCCTGAGAACATTATTGTGAGTGAAATTAAGTCAGACAAAGGACAAATACTGTATGATACCACTTACACGAAATATCCAGACTAGATAAATGAATAGAGACAAAAGTTTATTAGTGGTTATGGAGGGAATGGAAGTTACTGTTGAAGGGGTACTGAGTTTATGTTTGGGATGATACTGAGTTTGTTTGAAGTGATGTAAAATTTCTGGATATGGAAAGTGGTGAGAGCACAACATGGTGAGTGTGTAATAAACGTCAGTGAATTATACAATTATAAATTATTAAAATGGCAATAGCACCAAATGTGGGTGTAATGAGCCCGGCTTGACCAAAGTAAACGATGCCGCTAAGAAGCACATAAGAGAAAAGGTTGTTTGCGCTAAAAAAATGTGACATATATAATCGGTCAACAACACCAACAATAACCAAAAATCAAGTGTACAGTCACATATGTATGTATATAGGCATATAAGTGTACGGGTAGGTACAGATGTATACATATGTATGCACAAATAGAATTATCTATATGTACATGTGTGTACAGATATGTTTGTACATGCAAATGTATTCAGAGGACACAGTTACAGATACTTCTCACACAGCCAAACACCTTGCAAGAATGGTTTTCTGGGTTTGAAGGCCTAGGACTTTAGTCTCATGGGACAACTCAGTCAACTGGCATAACACAGTTCAAAGTTCATGTTCTGTATCCTAGTGAGGTGAGTAGCATCTGGGGTCTTAAAAGCTTGTGAGCAGCTATCTAAGATACAACTTTTGATCTCTACTCATCAGAAGCAAAAGAGAAAGAGGAAACCAAAGTTTCAGAGAAGAAACTAGTCTACAGGGCTGACAGCCTACATGAGCCACAGCCTCGTCTACCTTCAAACCAGAAGAACTAGATGGTGCCCGGCTGCCATTACTGTCCGTTCTGATCTGGGCCATAGTAGAGGAACCCTGATAGAACATGATAAAAATGTGAAACAGAATTCAAATTCTTAAGAAGTCCAGACTTACTGGACCAGTTGAGACTAGAGGACTTCCTGAGATTATTACCCTGAGATACTCTTTAAACCCTGAACCAAAACTATCTCCTGAGGTCACCTTTTACCGAAATAACAGACTGGCACACAAAATAAAGGATACTACCCGCGAGTATGGTGATCCATTAAAAAAAATCTATATGAGACCAAAAGGTCAACAATTACTCTAAACCAAAAATGAAAAGATAAGGGGGCAAGGAACCTAGACCAATGGAAACAGAACAACCAGAATACAATTAAACAGAATGTTGACACATTGTGAAAAATGTAACTACTGTCACTGAACAGTTTGTACAGAAGTTGTCAAATGGGAAGCCAGTTTGCTCTGAAAATGTTCACCAAGAACACAATAGAATATAATTAAAAAAGAAGAATTCTCTATGGCTGCCCATATCAAAACACAAAAAGCTACTTTTTCTTCAATAACCCAAACCATGATCAATTTGTAAAATAAAAGAAAGCAAACAACAAATTGGCAAACTTTTTGTTATTTATATTTTACTACAGTAGAATTAAAAAAAAAAAAGACTGTCTTGATCTTGCTCTGTCCTACAAATGCTCAAACACAAAGCTGGGTGAAAGTAGGTCTCTGTGAGAAGAAATAATATAAAAATTGGGAAGAAAAAATGCCACAGGCACCACCGTCGCATTAGAAAATAGAAGTGGGCAATAAGGATACACTAATGGTTGCAAAAGAAGGGTAAAGTCTGGCAAATCTCATGCCAGGGAGACAATTTCTATATTTCAAAAGTACCCTCACCCATAAGTTCAGAAGTAAGCAGTATTCTCTCCACGGCAAGCATAAAAGACAAAACCTGTCATCAAGCAGTAAGTAAAAACATTCTCTGGGGGTATACTTCAGAAAGATAATTTAAATGTAAATATAAAAAGCTTACAGTCATGCACATGTTGACTAAAATGGTTACATAAGCACATAACCAGCAACCTTACATAAACACAAATATGAGATGTCTCATGATCTACATAATTTCATACAGAAAATACAATCAAGTAAAAATCATAACCAATCATCTATGCTCTATTAATAAACTTCAGAATGAAAGATAAACTAAAATATGTAGAAAATGAAAGATAAAACAATATGTAAAAATTAATTTACATCTCATTTAACTCCTCAAAGTACTTGACAACTATTACTTTATTTCACCACAACAGATCAAATGTTTACCACGTTAAGTATTATTACTCCTACTTGTCAGAAGGGAAAAGCACAGAGCGGTAAAGTAAGCATAACTCTAAAAAAAGTTATGCCACAAATATATGGATAATCTGAACTAGAACTTAAGGTTTTTAAGCTCCTAGCTCAGTAAAATTATGAAAAACTAAATCTTCAGAAGTTAATAATGACTGTGGAATTACTTTTTTAAAATTATCGGACTACTCTTCGAGAATGAGGGTGAAATTAAAACATTCCCAGATAAACAGGAGCTGAGAGAGTTCATATCCACCAGACTGGCACTACAAAAAATATTAATGGGAGTTTTTAGATGGAAGGGAAAAGATACTAGAAAGTAATTCAAAGCTACACGTAAGAAGAAAGATCTCTAATAAAAGAAAATACAGGAACAAGTATAAGGGCTAGTAATAAGGTCTACATGCTTGATAATTCTTACTGTGTTATCCTTCAAGTTTCTTAACAACAAATATATAAAAACCAAGGATAAAATTACGTTACAGGGGACATGAAACATAAAAACGTAATTAGTGATAACAACAACAAGTGGGAGAAGGGAAGAAATGGTATAGATAGAATTTCTCATATATCACTGAAGTTGGTACAACTTACTCTAGAATGTTATAAATATAAGCTGTTAGACGTAACATTCATGATAACCACTAAGAAAATGTCTTAAAAATCTGCAAAAAAGGAAAGGAGAAAGCAACCAAAATGGCTCACTACAACACACCAATGAAACACAAAAGCAAGCAGTAGTAAAAGACAAAGACAAAGAAGGCTTAAAAAAAAACACCAAACCAAATCCATCGCTATCGAGTGGATTCCAACTCATAGCAACCCTAAAGGACAGAGCAGAACTGCATCACAGGGTTTCCACAGAGTGGCTGGTGGATTCAAACTACCAAACTTTTGGTTAGGAGCCGAACTCTTAACCACTGCGCCACCAGGGCTCGAAAGAAGGTGTAAGCACACACAAAATACAAATGACAAAATGGCAGAATTCACTTCTTATAGGTAACTACAGTGAATGTAAATGGATGAAATGCTCCAATCAAAAGGCAGAGAGTGGCAGAACAGACAAGAAAACATGATCCACCTGATATGCTGTTTATAAGAGACGCACCTTAGATCCAAGACACAAACAGGCTGAAAGAACTGAAAAAACATACTGTGTGCAAATAATAAGAGAGCTAGGCGGCAATATTTTATATATGAGTCATTAATAATATAAATCAGACAAAGTAGACTTTAAGATAAAATCTGTTAGAAGAGATAAAGGTGATCATTATATAGCGATAAAAAGGGTCAATTAATTAAGAAGATTTAACAATCATATGCACCCACATTGGGGCACCTAAATACATAAAAGCAAATACTGATAGAATTGAAGGGAGAAATAGGACTACAATAATAGTTGGAGACTTAAATACACCAATTTCAATACTGGACAGAACATCTAGAAAGAAGATCAACAAACAAACAGAGGACCTGAAAGATACTATAAATCAACTAGCCTTAAGAGACATATACAGAACACTCTACCTAACAGCACAATATACATTCTAATCCAGTGCACATGGATCACTCTCCAGGACAGACCACATGGTAGGTCAAAAAGCAAGTCTTGATAAATTTAAAAAGACTGAAATCATATGAAGTATTTTCTCTGACCACAACAGAGTGAAGCTAGAAATCAGTAACAAAAAAAAAAAAAAAAAGCCTGGAAAATGCACAAACATATGGAAACAACACACTATTAAACTACCAATGGGTCAATGAAGAAATCAAAAGAGAAGTCACAAATTTCTCAAGAGTCAAATGAAAATGAAAGCACAACACACCAAAACTTCTGGGATGCAGCAAAGGCAGTACTCAGAAGGAAACTTACAGCAATAAATGTCTACATAAAAAAAAGAAGGAACATCTCAAATCAACAGCTTAACTTGACAACTCCAGGAACGA